AGTTCTTGCTGCCCTCCCTTCGGGTCCTTTGTAGCTCCTTACTCAATCCCTCTTGAGAGTGACGACCTTAAACTTATCACCGAAATTCTCTGGCCCTTGGCCTGCTGTTTTATAAGCCTCTCATGTCCGTTTAAATCTTCACTGGAAGTGCTTTACATTTCTATGGCTCTTTTCAGAAGTGAAAGATGTCTAATAGAAACATACTTATTAAAACTTGTTCCTTAATTGAGCTGACACTTGAGCCTTCCTGCCCTCTGTGGCTCTTGAAATTTAATTCAGTTCAATAAAAGTCTTCCTTGGCGACGTTTTTAGAGAACACATTCTAAATCAAAACGCTCGTATCTCTTTGTAGTATTTGGATTACATTCTGAGTGCTTATTTATATTAATTTCGACACTCAAATAGTGCTCTTGCTGCCTACATGCCTGATGATTTTATGGGGAGTTTTGGAGTAATGTTTCAGCATGACCTGTTGTGGGACACCTCTCCATAGCCCTGTCTGCCCTGGGCCTGCTTCCAGACCTCCCATTTCTGCTCCCATTCTGCTGTTTGAGGGCCCTGTCTACCCCAGAGCTCTTCACTTTTCTTCTTCTTTCCTGTTCTTTCTCTGCCTCCTCTCTCCCCCTTCCTGCCTGGTGCATTGTATCTGGAACTGGAGGGCTAGGGGTGCAGTGATCATGTCTTTGAGGAGCAAGGTTGAGCTGCAGGCCAGGAAGATCTAAGAGGGCAATGAATGGAGTTGGGTGATGAAGGGCTTCATAGCCAGGGATCCACCTGTTCTGTGTAGGGCAATGAAAAGCCCATGGCTTCAATCTGGAGGCCAGCATGTATTCTCAGGATGAATTTGGGAAAGTTACTTCAAGGCTTGCTTCTATAAAATTGGAAAGACAATAACTTCATCAAAGAGACTTGGGGGAAAAAAACCACTGTGTAAGACCTTCTGGCCATTTGAGAACTACTCAATATATGCTCATTTTCTGCCTTTAAGACTCATCACGCCTTTTCCTCATTTTTTTTTTTTAAGCGATGTGAAATGACTTGGCCAAGATCATTTCCCTTTCCTCATCTTAACCCAATTAACTTGAGTATGAGGCAAAGGTTAATGAGTGACATATCTATTTAGGGATACAGAATGTTGATAGAGGACATGTATTGAATAAAGAATTCCATACCATGTACTTTAACATTTATATTGCCCTTCACCTGGGGCTCTAATTGCATGGAAGATATTAGATACCCAGGTCTTACCAAAAGCTATTTTGGGGGCACTTTGAAGAATATTTTTTTCAGTAGCCAGATGTGTGATCTGAATTTAAGATTCTTCTTTATCTCTGTGGTTGATTCAGGCTGTTTGAAGAATGTAAATGTCAAGGGTTTCCAAAGTCATCTTTTATGGAGAGCCTACTATATGCCGGCACTGCTCTAGGCACTGGAAATTGGGTAGTGATCAAGATTTACAGAGTCTCTGGACCTCAAAATCTTTCCTTCTATTTGGGGTAGGTGGTATTGGAACTACAAAATCATCAAGAAAACAAAGTAACTAGAGAGGCTGATTGGGGCCTTGGAAGGAGTAGCCAGCTGTGTGCATTTGCAAGTGTGCATTTGTGTTTATACATGTGTACACTGATTGAAACTTCAGGGAAAGCCTCAGTAGCCTTTGCCTATAACCATTTGCCCTCTCACCCTTCCTGGCTCTGCAGATTCTCCCCTGGCTGCCCCCTCTTCACACTGCCCAGCCAGGCTGGAACTTTGGTTCCTTGCAGTCACCTCTCTTCTCTCCAGTCTCTCCAAGATTCGTTTTTTCCCCTACCAGGTCTTCCCAAAAGCCATTGCCTTACCTCGAAGCCTCTTGCTCTTCCTTTCTAGATTACTTTGAGCGCTTCTGCTGTGGTCTACACTTAACAATTAATAAGCAACTGTAATTGCTTGATTAGCAGTCTGTCTTGCTCACCATTCATTCTCAAATACCAAACAAAATACTTGGTATATTTGTGGATGAAATAAATGTGCAGAGAATGGGGCATTTGAATCTGCTTAGGAGAGACACTCTATAGTTAATTACCCCCGCTCCCCAAACCATAGCTTCTGCTGTACCAACGTTCAAATATCGCTTGGATGTGCTCTGATAGACTGCAAGTCCCTTTGACTAATTCCCCTACTTCCAGTTCCATGACAGTACCTAGCACATAATAGGTGCTAATAAAGAACCCCCCCCAATGCCCCTCAAACAGATACAAAACCAAAATCAAACAAAAACCCAGAAAGACAGAATTTGGAAGGAAAAGAAACTAGTTCTAAGGTCGATGAAATGAATAAGATAATCACGCTCCTGGGTAGAAATTATAAAATATATGAAAAGTATTTTATCTACTTTACTACTTCATTTTGATTGCCATTCAACCATTTTGCCTTCTATTTAAGCACAAAACCAGGAAGTTGCTCTAATTTTTGTTCAACTTGATTTTCTAACACTTCAAATAGAAATCTCACTTTTTCTTTTACTGCAGGGTGGGACACCTGTCTTTAGGAACAAACTTTACGTTGCTTCTGTTTGCTTTTTATTGTTATTTTGAGGCACCTAGTAGGGGCCACAAAAGTAATGCTTCAGCCTGTCAAACCAGTATTTTAAATCTGCCTCCTTATTTTTTCCCTGGGGGCCATGGAAATTTTGCCACCAGTGGGTCTGGAATTTAGTGCCAGAGAGGTGAAACATGGGAAAAATAGGGATATTGTTTTTATTAATGCTACTTAGTGATTCTCAGCAGATTTTAAGATTTAAAAAACATTTCCTGATTTTGAAAACATAATAAAATCTCTTAGTCTGTCGAAAATTGGAGTAAGGGGATTCAGTAATGGGACGGTCAGAAGGATAAGCTAGGATTAACTACTGGGTTTGAAATTGCTTGTTTCATCTTTCTCACGTTAACTCTGTTGAGTTTAATTATTAATGATTTTTTTAACTAGAGAAAAGGTTGCTTACACATTATCTGAGAAAGCCTGTGCAGATCTTATTCTAGTTTTTGCTAGACCTGACTTATTCAACTATGAAATTAAGGTGTTAGCTTAGGTTGGCTCAATAAATATTTGCTACCTACCTATCTTAGATTGGGGTTCCTAGAGAAAGAGACTTAGGCAGACATTTTTTACACAAATATTAAAACACATTTCTAAAAAACAAAACAAAACACTCACCACCTTCTGTTACAGCCTCTCCATCCTTACTCCCTCCTCTTCTGGTAGCCTCATGTTCTCTCACTAGTGCTTTTCATGACACCCCTAAGGGGAGCTATAGTATAGCTGGAGTCCATTTTCAGCTTGTACGCATATGATGAACTCACCCAGCCAGCAACCAGGCTCAGGTGTTATGCTCCTCCATCAGCTGGCACCATAGTCCACCCCACCCTCCACCCCACCATAGTCCTATGTGTAAGTTGAGGAAAAGGTGCTGGCATAAGAATGTTTGACACGGAGCTTTGGGCACCACTGCATGTAGCTTGCTTGTGCCTCTGGGTCCTGTCATGTCCACCCCAGATATATCACTTCCATCTCTTTACCCTCTTCCTCTATCTGTCATGGCAATTCTGTGATATTTGTCCCATGGAGAGTGGGTCTATGCCTTTTCTGTGCTTCTAGGATCCATTTAGCTATGAGTTCACACTATTTCGGGCATCTTTGCAGTGTGTTATATCCGCCGTCTCTGGAGAGCGCTCCTCTTGTGCCACATGGATTCGGGCAGTTGGACAAAGAGTCCTGGAGTCCTTGGTGGATTTTTCAGGCATTAATCCTCTCTCAGGGAACCAGGCACACCAGGCAGGGAGGCTGGCATGCAAGGAGACAGGCACAGACCAGGTAGGGAGTTGGCTGGAGGCAGGCAGGCCACCCAGCCTCCCAGCCCCCCATGAATCTTTACCTCTTTTTCTGGGCTCTCTGGCGTTCTCTCGTGGTCTTGCCTCTTCTGTAGTCACATGTCCTCCTGTAGCCATCCTTATACCTCTGGCCTCTAGGCTCAGGTGTGCACACTTACGCATGCATGCACACCTATGCTCCAAGTGTTTACAATTAGGCACGCACGCCCCGCGACCACGCTCCCAAGCGCCTTTTGCATTAACACTGTCAAGGCCACAGGTGGTAGCCACAGAAGCTAGTGGCAGAAAAAGCCTGACTAAATCATTTACCCTACAGCTTCCAACTCGATAAAATGTACCTTCCTGCCCCTTTGACCAGTACATTCAATTCTGTGTGTTTTCTTCCAGCCTTTGGCAGGACAGACTGGGGAGGTCTTACAGCTCCTTCGGGACTAGTCCACTACTCCCACATCAAGCCCGAGAAGGGGATCAGGGGATCAGGAGCAGAGATGGGGGTGTATTCTCAGGGATCACATATTGCTTGTGGAAAAAGGCCTCAGTATCTTCTTTAAGTAAGAGAGTAGTGTCAACCCTAAAAGGGGAATAACCACATCTGTAGGTCAAGAGGGTTTAGAGGCGTCTAAGGATCCAAGAAATTAAAATGTCCTCTTTGAACGTCAAGATTCCATTCTTTCTCAGCTAGGGCCTTAGTCTTGTCAACGAAAACCTGTTTTGCTTGGAACTTGAACTTTATTTGGAACAAGACTACTCTGGCCATCAGTGCCCACGTGGGAATTCCTGCTGTAATAAAGAAGACTTTATTTACTATTCTAGATTTCATACTTAGCTTGGAATTGTCGACTAATGCCTCCCAGTTTGTGCTTACCTGTCCCCAAAGCTTCATTCAAGTTTAATAATAGACACCTGATTCTATTTTCCTCTTTTAAAAAAATACGATTTGTCCTATATTTTTCATAGCTTGATATTTCTTATCCAGTTAATGCTTCCTTCCATTGTTAGACCACACAGTTCACCATCAGTGATTAACCCTTTGAAAGGGAAAGAAGCAGCATTGGGTAAATGGAGAAGTAAAGTTGCAATTAAGTATCATGAAAGTCTCAATCTTTTTTGCCACCCCCTTTGAGAATTCTGAAGAGGGATTGACTCTTCAGAGTTGTTCATGTGGTGCAAGAGATCACTGGGCCTTTGCACTCCCATGTCTGATCTGTGGACAGAAGCAGGGATGACCTTGGACAAGGCAGCTTTCATCAATAGGGTCAGTCCCAGAAGGGCGATGTCAATATTAAATGGAATAGTCATTGCATAATACTTTTACTAACCTTTACATCTTTAATTTTTTTTTCATAGCATCTTTTTATGGTGAAAGCTATGAGGAGCTCAGCATCATAGAAGTTTCCTCTGAGTTATCTCTTGAGTTAAGATTTCAAGCCAGCAAATCACAGGGATTACTTTTTCATGCAGCTGGGAAAAATGACTACTGTGTAGTAGAACTTCTATCAGGAAATTTATGGGTATGATTTTTAAAAATCTTTAAGCATTCAATTAGAGAGAAAAACAGTGAGAAAAAGAACAAAATAGTTAAACATTTGAGAATTGTTATTTCACTAGAATAAAATCATGCCATTTATAGGGGCTGGGATCTGCAGTTTTATCAGCATGTCTTAAATGTTCTGACTCAAAAATTTTTAAACTAGCATTCAATATGCAGCCCATAACCTCAATGTGCAATTCATAAATGTGGGAGGTGTCTTCATGTCCAAGTTTTCCTTCCCTCCTTTCCCCCTTCCTCTCTTCTTCTCCTCTCCCCCCAGCATCCTTTCCCCTCCTTTCTTGTCCCCTCCCCTCTCTCTTTGTGAATGGACCCATTTTCTTAACAAAACTTTATGAGATGAGATTGATTAATTATGATTTTTCTCTTTTAGGTGAGAGTGAATTTGGGTACAAGTGAACAGGTTCTTCTTTCTGAGCAAAGACTTCAAGTGGATGACTTGGTTTGGCATTTGGTAGAATTATACCATGTTAAGGGCACTATCTCTCTGATTATTGACAAACATTATGCAACAACTGGACAGATCACTGGTGGGGTAAATATTTTGCATTTTCAACTTAGAATCTACATAGCAGGACATAGAGGACTTGACATGCCTTACTTAGATGGAGAGTTCCCCAATTTCTGGGGCTGTATGGAGGATATAGTATTTAACCAGAGGGAGAACCTTACATCTCTTAGATCTTACCCTGGTTTTAAGAAGGGTAATGCAGTATCACTAGGATGCAATGACCAGTTTTTTGAAGGAGAGGATGAAACCATCAATTTCTTTAGCTCTAGGTCCTAGGTCACTTTCTTAGAATGGAGGGTACAAGGGTATGGGCTTCTGGAATTTGATTTGCAGACTGGAACTCAACAAGCCTTGCTTTTATTTCAGTCAGGTAGAAAAGGAGATTTTGTTGCTTTGGAAATAGATAAAGGCCTACTGAAGACTCATGTAGGAAATAGAAAAAGTAATACTCAGCTTTCTTCTTTTAGAGTTAGTGACAACAAGTGGCATGCTATTCAACTCAAGCTCACTGGAAGGTATCTGGACCTGATGGTAGATAAACAAGGAGTAAGGATGTTGCCACCTTTGCAAAGCAAGCCATTCGTATCTGAAGGCCCCTTCTCTATGGGAGGTGTTGAATGCTGTACTTGGACAGAAGTTAAGAGGTTAAAACTTGCTTCTGTGCCTAAAAAATATCTTCATGGAATCTCTTTCAAAGGGTGCTTAAAAGGCTTGAAAGCAAACTCAAAAAGGAAAGCACTAAAGGATGGCCTTGTTTCTAGAGATATTTCTGCTGGGTGTAAAACGAAGAGTATTGATAACGAAAATCCTTCTACAACAACAAAAAACCTGCTCCAGTCAGAAGTTTCCCTTTCCACTGCTGTCCCTAAGACTGGCAAGCCTTTTGTTCAAGATATGAGTAGCTATTTTTTGGTTCTGAATAACTTGGAGGTCCAGGAAGGTGGGCAAGCCTTACTGGCACAAAGACATATGAAGGTGGATGTGAAACTTAAGATTCTGGGTATCCATCATTCTCAAATACTATGTAAAATAAAAGAAATGCCTGCTCATGGGTACCTTCGATTAGAAGTTCTCCTTGAGCAAGAAATGGAGAAGGCTTTTACTATGTTAGATTTGGGGCAAAGAAAAGTTTGGTATGTCCACAATGGTTCAGAAGAATCTAGGGATTATTTCACATTTGCAGTCTTTTTCAACATCAAGAAGGATATGCTATTAAATCCTCATCATGTTGCACATGTGTTTAACATTATTGTCATCCCAGTAAATGACCTCCCATATCTTAAACTCCCTGCAGGAAACTTGCTTGTCTTGTTTGAGAACTCTAAGAAAAGACTGACTTCCAATACAATACATGAATCTTCCAATACAATACAAGGACCCTGACACAGGTTCCTTGAGTCTTAGTTTTTCAGTTCTTGGCAACTTTAATGCAGATGCTGGGTTTTTAGAAAACATACTTGACCCTGGGCGAGCCATTAATGGTTTTACACATGGGGATTTAAGGAATGGCAACATTTTCTACGTCCACAGGGGTTATTGGAACTCTCGGATTGTCCTGAGAGCCAGCGATGGAGATCTAGTCAGTAATACTGTGGTGTTATGGGTCACAGCTTTCCTTGGGACTTTGAAGTGGCCGATAGACCCAGTGTGACTGTGCAGCAGGGTGGCACAGTGCCAATTACACAGAGTGACTTGTCAGTGGAGGTTAATGGTGAACATCATGAAATGAAGACCTGCTATGTTATCACTCATCCGCCTTAATTTGGCCAGATTCAGCAGTGAGGATCAAGTGAGAAATGGAACAAGTTAATACCTCTTCTCAGCATTCTATTGATTGGGGTCAGATCAGGTACTGCAGTACATTCAAGGAATTGTAGCTTGAAAATGTTACGGATCACTTTACATTTAACGTTATCATAGAAGGAAAAGTCAGCAAAGAGATGATGTTTCTTGTTACTGTACAGTGGCTGAAGTTTACACTTCTGAAAAATGTTCCTCTTGAGATCAGTCACGTAAACAAGTAAGTGTTGAATTCTGATCATTTGCAGTATGTGACAGAGGGTGTGAATGTAGCCGAGAGGGAACTACATTTTAAGTTACTGATCCCACCTAAGAACGGAGAATTGTTCCTTGGCAATGAAGTTCTATAAACAAGCTCAATCTTCAGCCAAAAAAACATTACAGACTCTGAGATAACTTATAAGCCACAAGGGAAGCCCTGGAAAGATGCACAAGATCCATTTGGATTCTTGATGCTTGCAAAACACATTGAATCAAAAGATTATACTTTCAGAATAAACGTCAAAGCAGAAGATATGCACATTATTTTAACTAGCAAAGGGTTATATGTAAAAGAAGGAGAAAGGAAAGTAATTATGAAATCAGAATTATTCGCTCAGACCTCGGACAATCAGCATTTCCAATCTACAATTGTAGAGTCCTCAACACGGGAAGTTGAAACTTCTGAATCTTGCAGATTCTCTGGGAGGACATGACAATATCATTGTATTCACTGATCAAGACATAGTGAGTGAGCTGCTGGTGTACGTCCATGATGACTCTGAGATCAAGTGTGATGACTTCCTCCTTGTGGCCTCCACCATGGGACCAGGCCAAGAGGGAGTGGCCAGTGGTCTTGGCACAGAACAATAGTCTGCAGAAGTCAGTCACCATTTCAGTTGAGTTAAAGAATGATGAGAAACCCATGCGTGTGGTAGATAAGGTTTTCCACGTTGTGTGGAATGGCCAGCGCTTGCTGACCCTGGCAGATCTCTGTTACCACAACCCTGATTCCAATTTTGATGATGGGCAGTTGCTGTATATCTGGTGGGGCATCCTCAGTGGGGATTTGGTTAGAGCCAGTGACCCCAGTCAGAAACTCTACCAGTTCAAGCAAGACGACATGAGGGAAGGATGGGTGCTCTTCAGGCATCGAGGGGCAAACTCGGCCCGCTTTGTGCTGTTTGTCACTGATGGTGTCCACTACACATCATCCCTTCTCGAAGTCAGTGTGGCAGACCCCTGCGTCCACATAGCTAACAATACAAGGCTGCTCGTGCAGAGAGGAAAGGATGGCCACCTCACTGCAGCCAATCTCAGTGTCACCACCAACCAAGATGTCAGAGCGGACCAAGAGATCCAATTCTACATTGTGCAGCCCCCAAAGCATGGCGGGGTGCTGGTCAACACCTCGGTGTCCCACTCATTTTCCCAGCATGACTTGAGGCAAGGGCTTGTGATTTATAGACATGGAGACAGTGGCAACTTTGATGTGTTCACCCTGACAGTGAAAGATGTGCACCTAGAAGTGGACGTCTAGGTGTGAGTATGAGCAGAAAGCCACCAAGGTCACACCCAGGTTCTGCACAGCAAGTCCCTTGTAGTAGAAGGAAAATCAGTGAAACTGAGTAGAGCAAGACTCCAGGTAGGTAGTTGTCCTGGCACCAATCATCCTCACTGTCCCAGAGCCAAGTCAATTAGTTTGCTTCTGAAGGTTACCTTTTTTTTTTAAAGATTTATTTTTATTTATATAAGAACTGGGGTATAGGCCACAGGCATGGGAGAGTGAGAGGATTCACCAGAGACAGAGCAGGGAGCAGAACAGGCAGATGGACTGAAGACACTGCTGAGGGGAACAGCGGGTGAGACAGGAGAGGTCTGCCGCACCATGTGGGTATCTCCCTGTCCGGCTGGGAATTGAACCCATGATGTAGAGGCTGCGGACAGCTTCACAGTGCTGCGTTCAACCTGCTGTGCCACCGGGGAGGCCCTGAAGGTTACCTTGTATGGATGTCTCTCTCCAGCTATTAGGATGACTTTTTGTTTTTTAAGTGTAGGTGCCATTAGGAAGAAAAACTGGAAGGGTGTATGATTTAGATACGACTAAATTTCCTATATTTGGAAATGGAATATAAGTGATAATATAAAACTTTATTTTAAGCTTTGTGTTCATACATTCATGTATGTATGTGCATTTGCTTTAGTGCAGGATGAACTGGAAGTGAGAGGGATGTACATTATAGTAAATTAAGAGATTTTTACTTTTTCCATATTCCATAGCAACTCTGCCAGTGTTCCACTGGATCTGATTTATGTTTGTGATGTGATGAAGCGGGGTATAAAGACTTAGTATAACTTAAACATAAAAACAATTCATAAAGTAGCAGGACACACTATTACATAGCTTATTTCCATAGCTCTGAATTCAGTCCCTTTTTGTTTCTTGAAATTGATGGATTAAAATTGGCTATTCCAGTGGAACACCAGGGTCAGACATCACACCAGAAACTACCTGGTTTTTGGGGGCTTCTACTTGGAAACTCCTAATGGCACAGCCCTGCTGATCAGAGTTAGAAGAGAATGTTCTTTTTAGGGTAGTCCTCTGTGGGTCGCATAGCTGTGATTTATGACAGTTGATTGCAAATGCAAGCCTATTCTGAACCTACCCTCAAGATTGCAAGCAAATTTACTTGTTTGCTAAAAGAGGTGAGCAACATCAAGAAAGGTTGAATTCAAATCAGGAGCAGTTTATAAATGAAATTTGACTGTGAGGCCCATGAGCTTTTCTCAATGCTTTTTCAGTATCTTAGAAAGTTTAAGCTTCACCACAAGGGGGCAGTGACTATAAATCAGTTACAGTGACAGTTTTGAGGTAGATTTTGCAGAATCATTAAGTTAAATATACATTGAGGTTGCTGAGCTAGTTAAAGTAGGAGAGAAAAGTAAACTTTCCTCTAACGTCTTGCAATTTTAGTGACTCAATTTAGGGACTGCTTCTTCTTCCATTATCTTTGATTTCTTCTCCTTATACCATTTTATTTCTTTCACTTCAACTTTCTGAATCTGGGCTTCTTACTGGGCCTTGATTGATGCCTTTTTAACATGTTAGTAGGTATAGCATTGACCATTATTTTTCTTTGCAACCACAGCTGAAATAAAAATATTATAATGGTCACTAGAACAGATCTAGGCTTAAACTGCTTATCACACTTAATTATAATGTAAGCCAATTATGAACAATAGAAAACAATTTGCTTCATCAAGAGTCCTGACTCTACATGTATTAATGTTTTTCTTTTTGTGTTTGTGTTTTGCATTTGAACTCAAGTCTGTGCATGAAGATAATGTTCCTTCAGAGGCAGCTTTTACAGTCAGAACTCTTCCCTGCATGGACACCTGTGTAAATCTTCACCAGAAGATGGCTTGGGTGCAGTTGAAAAGTCCCCCTTGACTTTCATGCAACAGAATATTGATAATGGTAATATCCATTATGTGCAGACAACTCCTGACCAACAACGAGACCATTTTTTATTGGATGTTGTAAATGGCTTCGAAACTGTGAATGTAGTTGAAAACTTGGTAGATATTATCCCTAAGTGGATTCCTCTCGAGGTACAAAATTTCACAGTTCAGGAAGGTGGCTCTAAAGCACTTCTGAGAGACTACCTCAAAATTCCAAGCAAATATTTTGAGGGACTTGACTGTGAATTTGTTCTACTCAAACCACCAAAACACGGTTATGTTGAAAATTCTTATTTTCCAAGAGTATTTACCAGAAAACAGGTAATAACTCTCAGTTAATATATTTGTATATGTTGGATAAGGGAAAACCATTGGCTCTTTATCAATTAGATTTGTGGACTTCCCGGAGTGATGGTATTTGAGAGGGTATATATTCTACCTCTCAATAGATTCTAGAAACTCTTCTACAGTAACCCTATAGCAATTCAGCCATTGCTTAAATATCTCCAGAGATGCAGAACTCCCTACTTACTGAGATGGGCCTATTTAGTTTAAAAACACTCTGTTCTTTGTGTTGAGCTGAAATCTACCATTTGGAAACTGCTGGGTGGTAGCTTTGATAATCCACAGAAGAGATTATATCCTCTTTTCTTTAAATATTACAGAGAAGTTATCAAATTCTCTTGGATTTTATCTTTGTTGGATTCAACATCTATAATTTCTCCAACTTTTACTTATATGCCATGGATTTCTAGCCCCTGCCATCCTGGCTGCTGGGGTCCTAGAGGAAGTCCACGCTGTCACTGTCCCTCCCAAGGCCAACAGAGCAGAGCAGCAGCACTGTTTGCCTCTGGATGTGATTAGAGATAGGTGACCCAACACTTTTTATTTAATTTTAATTTTTATTTTCTGATGTTGTTCATTTTTGTATAATATTTGACTTCCCCTTTCAGGTGTAGTCCCCATTAAACCCCCACTACCACCACACCAGTGAACCATCACCATAGTCCCTTGTGTGCTCCCATCCCCTGTGCTCCCCCAGTCCCCTGCTGTATGTCTCAGATTTACACTTTGCCTGTTAGTTTTTTTTTTTTTCTGAATCCTTCGGTTTCTCTATATTTCTCCTGTAAGTGCAACCATCTGATATTTTTCTTTTTCCTCTGACTTATTTCACTGAGCATTATTCCTTCCAGCCCCATCCATGTTGCTGCAAATGGCATGAGTTTATCTTTTTTGACTGCTGAGTAGTATTCCATTGTGTATGTATATCATATTTTCTTGATCCAGTCATCTGTTTTGGACATTTAGGTTGTTTCCACATCTTAGCTATTGTTAATAGTGCTGAATAAACATAGGAGTGCAGGTTTCATTTCAAATGAATGTTTTTGTATCCTGACCCAACACTTTTTAATATTTTAAGATTTTCTATAAGTTATAGCATTTAATTTCTGGTCAATGGATATCTTTCTCGCTAGATATCTAGGAATAGACAAACCCCCCTTTTAGCTTGTAGGTTAATACCTATTAAATAGTATAATTTGGGAAATACTGGAAGACAACTTCTACTTAAATGCTATGTCCCTAAAACATATTAGGCTAAAAATTCTCCTGCTCTTTGATCAGTGCCATCATCCATGTTTGTTTTAAAATTACTGAAAATAGTGTGTTCTGGGAACTTGCGATCAGGCCTGTAATCTGGAATTCCTCTTCCCACGGAAGTCCAAAGAAATTCTCCTAGCACATGTGTACAAGGGGACGCAACTTTCCCTTGAGACTCTTCATAAACTTTTAAACTCTTGTCAGAAACACCTCTAAGAGATCAAAAGTCTTTGCTCAAAGGAAGTGCGCCATAGGAATGGGTGAAGTTGAGCTGTTAAAATAAAAATTTGGCCGTATTTTATCAAAACAAACACAGCTCCAGAGACATATTCAGAAGTTCAACTATTCCTGTTTGGGTTTTGGAAGTTCTCTTCATTGTATGTTTGGGTCACAGACTCACAAAACCAAATTCCCTCCTAACTTTAATTTGGTTTCTGGATTTGTCTCTGTCCTCTTCAGTATTTCCATGAGAGCCTTAAAGACATGAAAAGCATTCTGATCAAATTTGTGGTTGTTACAAATCCAAACGGAATAACTAAATCATTGGATGATTATTTCAGAGTGAAAATAATGTCTAACAGGAATAAAAGTAAGAATTTGCATTTGGATTATCATGGAGAGGGAGATTTTTCTTGATAGAATAATTTGGTTCCAATATATTTTATTTTATTCTGTCCACAGGAGATGAAAGGTAACTTGTATGGGTAGCATCTGTTTAGAGGTGCACCAAAAAATAATTGTATTCTGAAAGAGGAGGAGCAGGATTAGAAAGTAGCAGGTGTAACCTCTTATACAAAGTACAACCAAGGGAATAATGCATGCTTAGCTCAAAAAAGAGAGGTTTAGGGGGCCTCCCTGGTGGCGCAGTGGTTGAGCGCTGGGTTGCGAGGCTGCCCGCAGCCTCTGCAGCGCTGGTTTGATTCCCGGCTGCTCCCCGGCCACTGGAGGAGGGTCCCACAAGGCGCGCAGACCTCTCCTGCTGCCCGCTGTTCCCCTCAGCAGTGTACTTCCTCAGTCTGCCTGCTCTGCTCCCCGCTCTGACTCTGGTGAATTCTCTCACCCTCCCATGCTTCTGACTGTACCCAGTGCTTGTATAAATAAATAAATAAATAAGTCTTTAAAAAAAAAAAGAAAGAAAGAAAGGTTTAGGGAAACTTAATAGTTTCCCTGGTCCAGCTATCTCCAAAAAACAAATCTAACCAGTGAGTGGCAATTTCAGAGCCCAAACTCACATTCTGAATTGTCCAACAAAACAATCCACAACTTCAAAAATTACTAACTCTAAACAAACACATAGAGTCTGCACTTTGATGGATGTTGTTTCAGTGGAAGAAAGGATGGGTTATATCATTTACCTGCAATACATTTTGGTGTGAGAAATACCCTTTCACTCAGTCGAGCACTCTCTTTACCACCTGATGTTGCTTGAATCCTCTATTTCTCCTTAAACTTATTTCTAGAATGCAGTATCACATCATAAAAACAAACTTCCATCATATTTTGTACTCTATCAGAGTAAAATTTCATGGGATGAACACATATCTCTGTGCTTTAGAGAGGTAGAAAAAAATAAGAATTTCTTTTATGGAAATTTTTTCATATTTAAAAATTATATTTTACTAAGTTGGTGGTATGTT